TCGGGCCCCGCGCTTCGGGCAGCGGGACGTCCGCCCAAGGGTTCGAGCACCGTCAGCCCGACCGACGCCTCGCTCCACCTTCCCCGGGCCCGCAGAGCACGGGTCGGACCCCACTCACTCACGGCGAAGCGTCTGTGTAAACAGACGAGAGGCACGAACACACTCAAACCGGAACCGAATTAGCCTCGCCGATGCCGCCTGTCTTCCCCGTTGCCTAGCAACCGGCTCAAAGCGAAAAATTAAATTAAGCAATTCAAATGTGATGGTAAAGTCACCTTCTGAAATTCTGCGACTCAGCAGCTCCATATCACCCTTGCTATCTGGACAGCATGGCAGGGCCAAGTCCCGGTTCCACTGGATCCTCACCTCGTGCTACGTCCAGGAGCACACGAACACAGGAGGTCCAGAAAGAGAATATACGTAACACCTGCCTGGGGGAAGGGAGTGTGCGTTGTGTGTGTGTACACGTGTGCACGTACACACGCTGCGGGTTGATCTCACGCCAAAGAAATGCCACAAAGAACATCTTATGTGACAAGAGTTATTTCAGGCCTTTGAAGAACAAGCCAAGCTAAGCTTTCAAAAAATTACTTTGGAATATTCCTACGTTTTAGCAGACGCCACCCTGGGCCAGCCTGGAAGCCAGCCGCAGAGAGGGGGCAGGTTAAGTGCTAAGGGGCTCCGTGGGCAGGACCGCAGACGGAACGGCCATGGGCGACCTTCGACGTTTCCGGCGGCTCGCCAGGACGTGGCTGCAGAGAGAACGTTCGCTCCAGTGCGCGGTAACACGCTGACGACGCAGCGAGCACCGTGCACAGGTGAGAGGAGACAGAGGCACCAGGAGCCCCCCACGGTGGGTCCCCCGGGGAGGGAGAAAGTGAGGCGGCTGACCTCAGAGGGAGCCACGCCCGGGCTCAGCCAGGGAGTGAAGGCCGCATGCCGGGCGGGACCACGGCCGAAAGCCCAGTGCGCCCAGTGCGCCCGCACCGAGCTCCAGCCCCAGACAGGGGAAGGCTAGCGTGGGAGGCCCCTGGGGGCAGAGCCCTCCGGCCCTCCGGCCCTCTGCACGCTCTGATAACGACGGTCATCATCCAAACGTACTATGATCCCAGGGCTCCATAAGTGACGCAGCGTGTCCTCTGGAGCCACTTCCAGCTCCAAGTCCCAGGAGCCTAGTCGTGTATTTAATTACTATTTATCAAAGTGCCTACTGTGCACTGGGGACAGCACTGGGTGCTGGAAACAGAACGGTGAACCAGGGGCAGAAGTTTCTCCGTAGAATCCTAGCGACAGCGAAAAACTAGCCCGAAGGCCAAGTTCACGGACGGCGAGTGAGAAGTACTGTGGAGGCGAGAATCCCATGCTGACACCATGTGGCTGGTGCAGGGTGGGGCGCTCGCACGGGGTCCCCAAGACAGGCCCCGCCAGGAACCGCGGCACCAGGGGGAGCGGAGGGTGAGGAGGGACCAGCCTGCCAGACACCTGGAGGCAAAGCCTCCCGGGCCGAGGGAACAGCGAGTGCACAGGGTGTCTGAGTGGGAAGAGAATCTCGACAAGGCTGAACACAGCGGGCAGCGGGGGCGGAGGGGCGCGGGCAAGGGCGCGAGCTGGGGGCGGGGCTGAGACGTGAGCGGGACTCGCCCCACGAGAGTGACGCGGAGCTGGCAAAGGTCTGGCTTGTGTCCCCAACGGGCCTTTCTTTTGTGACGCCCCCTGGGAAAGGGGAGGCTGGGAGGGGTGACTTGGGGGACAGGAGTGGAAACGGAGAATTTCGTCCGAGCTGCGCTTTGCTCCTGGGGCCTGTGACACATCCCAGCGAGCTGCTGGGTGGGCCGCCCGTCAACCAGTAGCTCGACACTGCAGAGCAGTCAGTTATTTCAGGAGGTGAGGGGGAGACAGGGGAAGGATGGGGGTGCCAGAGAGAAGAAAGTGGAGGGAGTCAGTATCGCAAACACAATGTCACTTCCATCTGCCACAGGGAGAGCCAGCCAGATCTAGAGAATATGTTAATGGCGGCTGACAAAAGCTTGAACTTGATTCAAAGTTTTCATCACGCAGAATAAAGACCTTTCCTCTTCCTTCTTCTGCAACACCCCCCCCCCCAAAAAAAAACCAGCACAAGGAAAATGTGAAGCAAAAAACCCAATTCCATTCTTCCGCAAAACCCAACCCCATCTCCCCAAGCTGCAGTAATGAAGCTGGGAAGAGGCTGGAGGGTGGGGCCGGACAGATGGCGGGAAGGGGACCCTGTGTCTGCAGAGGGAGCACCAGTGAGAAGCAAGGGGACCGGCCCCGCAGAAACTGAGCTGGCTCGAGAAGCCACGATGCCCCCGCAGGGCACGTCGCTGCCCAACCTGGAGCAGGGACAAGGGGCTCCAGGGGCTGAGGGCGGCCGTGAGGACCGGGAGTGGCGGATCACGCTCTGTCCACCGCAGGGAGACACACCGCAGCTTCCGGAGGAGGAGGAAGAGGGCTCAGGAGATGCGACAAAGGAGCCGAGCGAACAGGAACAGCGGGATCACCCCCAACTCCGGGGGAGCGGCATAAGGAAAGCCGTGTGTCTTCAGCTCGACGGTGAGAAATGTTTACAGAGTCATAGAAGTCTAAGACCGAAAATGACTTCGGCCAAAAAAATAAATAAATAAAAGGATGGGGGGGGGCGGAGATAACGCTAATGGGAGGAGAAACGGGAATGTGCCAGAAAGCTGA